GGTGTAGTATTATTTTGCTACAGTAACACAAAAATCAATAGAAGCCTATAGATGTCCTCATATGTATAGCAAGACAAACGTGTATGTGTGTGGCTCTTCTGGGAAACATGCTGCAGTTAATTGGCCTCTGAGTTTTCTGAGTAAATGTGGCTCCACTTAATCTCGGAGCTGAGGGGATCCCGCAGATCTCGGCCTCCTGCACAGCGCATCCTCACGCACAGCTCACCAGGCACTGACCGCTGAGCTGACCTCACAGCGGCACCCTGCCAAGAAGCGTGACTTCAAGGCCGAGGCATTTCCAGTGAGCTGTGGTCCAGGCAGCGGGTAGGTCTGGCCCATGTCCAGCTGCCCATTCTTGGGCATGGAGAGTATGCCTGCATGCGGTCAGTGCTGGAGTGTGTTACTCATTGTAGATAGAACAGTCATTACTAAGATACATCTTACTTAGTTTATATGCTTTGTTGTTAACATTTTAGAATAACAGTGAAGGCATCAAAACTTTTTGCTGCTTTAATTGAAGAGCCCCTCAGTTTGGTGTGTCATAGCTATCTACCCATATAAAGTGGCTAAACACATGTAAATGAGCTATAATAGACTTCAGAACATCCCTGCAGAAAATTTAACTACTCCCTCTCTCCCGTCGCACAGCCATATCTCCAGCGCTGAACAAACTCTTGGCGTCCAGCCGGACTCAGGCTAACCGCCGCCCTGTGTGGCCAGTGGTTCTTGTTGCTGGGTTCCCTGTGCACACACTGGGCACGGCTTGTTTTCTTCTACTCAGATGACCCGTGCATGTTGGAAAAAGCCGGTTCTCACACAAGTGTCGTGTTACAAAAGCCAAACAAAGAATTCTTCCAGGCATTCTCCGCTCATGTGTACCCAATGAGGTGAAGCCCACTCTCTGTCTGGCCCACGCCTTGATTTCTCGAAAATCATCAGAACGTCCTTGTCTTGTGTAAACAGAGCCATCCAACGCCCCTTTAACCTCCCAGCCGGAGTGTAAAGCCAGGGATGTGGGCAGTAATGCTCCTCTCCTTTCCAACCAGCAAGCTCTATCCGTGGGTCATGTGAAAGGCTAGTCCCATAAACCAGCTCTACTAAATAGATAATAGGGGTGAATGCAAAGCCAAATTATCTGTTATCTTCAAATAGTATTGCATCTCTGTTAAAATGACACCACAATCAGACAAGAGGTACAAGGAAATGTGTCACTGGGTTCCTTTGTACTGTATCTTCAATTATCTCTGTTGGATCACTTTTTCTGTTGAATTACAATTTGCATGTGTTTTTTTTCTGCCACTATACATATCCCTCTGCGTCATGACTCGGTTCCTTTCATAATTCATTCATGGAGATGACCTTCCACAGAATGGAAACAGTCATATTCCAAGGAGCAGGAATCAACTCATTGAGAGATGCAAGTGGCTTGCACATTATTGTGCTGTGAATCACCTTCCTTTAGAAATGAGCCATCTATGTCCCTCCACCTTGTACATTAATCTAGGGATACAGCTGGAGTCATGTAGCTCTTTTTTATGGCTTTATCTACCAATGTGGCTTCCAGTTATCCAGGTCGAGTGTAATCCTGCAATTCTTGTGGCAAGATAATGGCAAAGGTTGTCCCTTATCAGTCTCGGCCAACAATAGAGGGTTGAATTACGGCATCACCTGGTTAAACAAAATACATCAGTGTCTTTTATTGGCGTAATGGAGAGAGGAGAAGGGCCAATAATCTTTTATATGAGGCAGCCGAGAGCGTTCAAATGCTCGTTCTGGGTTTTCAGGTAACAATAAAAAGGTAGAGGGACATTTATTTCAGCATGGCTCACTGATGGATCTTGTAAAAGAGAAATTGCTCTTTGAGGGCACTGACTCTGTACAACACCTCTCTGTCCTCAAGGGGCCTGAAAGCATTCTGAATGTATTAAGACACTGCCACCTAGTGCTGTTTTTTGTTATTGCAACATGTCTTAATCTTCACATTTTACACTCAACCAGTCCAGTTTATTAGAAACATGTTCTCAAACTCATGAACCATTTCAGAAAGTCCACTGTGCAGGGGCACAGCTACACAGTAGACCAGGGGTGCCCAAGCCTGATCCAGGAGATCTACCACCCTGGAGAGTTCAGATCCAATGTACAATATTCAGATGCTTATAAAGGCCTTCGTTAGCTGGATCAGGTGTGGTAGGTTAGGGTTAGAGCTAAACTCAGCAGGGCAGTAGATCTCCAGAACCAGAACTGAGCACCCCTGCTGTAGACCAGTTATATATGTTAATGGCAGCATGCAGTGATCTTCACACTTCTGTAGCTAAAATTTTATACAATGTTATTTATTCTGAAAAAAAGCATCTGTATTATATACTTGTAAAACACATTCCAGAACAAATCTTATAAATCTTTATAAATGTTTTTTATATATATATATATTTTTTTTTTTAATTCATTTCTGATGGTAAAGTACATGTAGGGCGTTGTAAAATAGCACCCAAAGAAAATGTATTTTTTCAGATTTATCTCTATTTTATCATCATCACACATGAAAAAAAACTCAAATGATACATGTAGGTTCATAGGTAGTTTTGGAAAATAAAATTGCCAGAGATAAGAACGATAAGGACAACAATCGATAAGGACACTGTAACGAGTTGATAAGTGTCTCTACAGTTAACCATTTCACTCTGAATGACTACATCTGTAAGCATCATAGAAATTCTATAAAAAAAAAAAATTGTGTTTTTTTTTTTGACACATGTATGTGCAGTGGCTGCAGTCCTGTTTAATCCTGCAATTTTGAATAAATCATTCATTCATTCATTCATTCATCTTCCTAGCTTTTGAACAATATTATGTGTAGTATAAACATACACACTTCCAGGCAAATGTATGGACACATCTATCTGTACTTGTTTAATTTACTCATTAAAAAATAAATTGTTATGCTTAAAACTTTTTAGAGAAAAACATGTCCAAAACAAAAAAGTTGAAATAATCATTACATCATCCCAATTACTGTGTTAATTAGTTAATTACTTAATTAGTTGATTAGTGGAATGTCTGTCTTCGTTAATGTGTCTCAGCCAATTAGTTGTGCTGTGATGAGGGAGGGCTGTGTCTGAACAGCCCTGCTTGGTAAGAAGATCAACATTTCTGACTGGAGTAATTCCATATTTACTATTTTTTAGTTTTGATGAAGATATTTCAAGATATTTCTTAATATTTAAAGTATTTTTTAAATCTATGTATTTGTTTTAAAAAAAACATGACAACCTATAAATGCATGAATGCCTAAGTGCTTCTTTGCATGGTTAAACTTTTCTTTTCTATTATGGAAAACCTGTTGTATATAGTTCTTTCAAGAACCTTTTAAAATGGTTCTATATACCACCAATAAAGGTGCCAGTACTGCTACAAGTACTATATAGCAGCCGTTTTGCTAAGATCAAATCTATTAAGTAGTAGCATCTTAATAGGATCATTTTATATATAGTCGTGTGCAAATGTCTTATTGATTTTCCAAGTGAAATGTAACACAGAGAACACACTTCTGCACATTTTAGTACACAATTACTATTTGCTGAATTTAACATACTGTAAAGAAAAAAGTAAAACAAAACATTGTCTGTGTAAAAGTTAGAACACCTTTTATATTTTATGTTCTCGTTTTTCCAATATTTTAAACTCAGCAAAGCAACAAAACGTAACTTTGCCAGGGTGTTCAAACTTTTGCATTCAACTGGATGTTTCTGCAAAAAAATTGGTTATAAATAACTGTAAACATCTGAATGGTAATGTGTTGGCGCTACATGCTGTGTATGTATTGTCATCTTCATTTTAATCAGAATGCCAAAGGTAGCAAATAAACAGACATAAATAAAAGGGCACCAAGTAATTTTTTTGATATATTGTAATCTTTATTTCAGTATGAATTTTTCTACCATTTTTTATGGTATAAACACTTGAAACAAAACAACAGAATGGCACTCAGCTAATATTTGCTACATACACATTTATATAAAATGGAGGAAGATACTCACTATACACTGAAGTATATACATCCTTGATAAATAAATCAATACTGCTCAGATTTAAGACTTAGCTGAGAGAATAGCCAGTGCACTGAAATTGACAGCTGGGTAAAACCTTGAGGAAGGAAACAGAAAATGGGAGTGAACTAAAAGCAGGCACTCAGTCATGTGAGGAAAAAAGGCGGCTTGTAATCAGTAAACTACTGTTGCATTCATTAACACTGAACTCAACAACTAAGCTTATTTTAAAAAAGCTATGGCGTATTAAATAGAGTCCGTACTACTATTTGGAGCCTCTTATCTACAGTTAGGCACATTTTCACAACGTCAACAAGGCATCTTCCTTCAGACTCAGAGTGTGCGAGTCTTATCTCTGATAAGAGGCTCATCAGACCTTAAGTGTGTTCATGTTTCTGCAGATTAAAGGAACACTTACAATGCTAAAGTAACAAAACTAGTGTGTGACAATTAGCCAGCCACAGTAGCATTTTGGAGTAAAGTGTTCCTTTAAACGTAGCCCTACACAGTGTTTTCATTTGGTTCTATGAAATTCAGCCTACAATTAGGCTTCACTCAAGTCCAAAAAGCTTTGTCTTTGTTTATATTTGATTATGATGTGCGTCTGGCCTGAGTTGGAGCCTATATGGGTCAAAGGTGGATTAGCTCCAGAATATTACAGCTTGTTACAGGAACAATAGAATAATTCTCAATCTGCTGCTCTCCAGGCTTATGGGTTTATATGTTTATATACAGGTGTAGCACAACAATACATTTGGGTAAAGTGGGCAAAGTCCAACTTTGTAGGAGTTTTATCGGACCTACTTCATCCTGCCTTCTTCCTTCGGACTAACGAGCATCTCCGAGAAGCATGGCTTGTAAAATGAACACTGTACTGTTTATATTAGGAGCGCTGTTTACAATCTGGTAGATACACAGTCATATGCAAAAGTTTGTACAGACCTGGTTAAATTACTTAATGTTTTATTGGTTTTCTAAGTGAAAACAAGTTAAGGCATCCTCTACAGCTACGAAACATGGCATTTTTCAGCTTTTTTTAGTGCACAACTCCTATTTGTTTACTGGGTTTTACATATTGGAAAAAAACAAAACACTAAATATAAAATGCACCATGAAATTTGCACAGGCTACATTTTATGTTTTTTCTCCAAATGTGTTCCATTCAGTAAATAAACAGTAATTGTGCGTTAATGTGCAGAAGAGTGTAGAAGATGTGTTAACTTATTTTCAACAGAACATGTCAAATAACCAGAGACAAACTTTTGCATATGAACTCTGGGAAATCACTGGCTGTATGATTGTTTAAATGCTTTGACCACTATTCCGTCCGAAAGTTTCTTCACCTCAAGCTGTCAGGATTATCCTTGTTTGATCACAAATATCCATTTTCCAAGCTCACGTCCACCAGCTTATTCCATGTGTGCCCACATGAAAAAGCTCTGGCAGTGAAACTACAGCTTTGTAGCTTCAAACAGTGATAAATACAGGCTTTCAAGAGGAGAATCATCAACACTGGCAGGAAGATGAGACCGCTCCAACCTGAGCAGTTAAGTGTTAGATGGTAATAGAGCTTGGAATTTCCCAGAGTAGGTCTTGCTTGCACTTCTAAGTAGCCAGGAACATGAACAGCCTTGCAATATTCACGTCATTCATTAACTGCACAGGCAGCGTCCATGAAGCATCTCAGTGTAGGACTGCTGTTTCTGGAACAGGCCTTTTGCCACAAAAGAACCTGGACCAGCCCAGACATGGTAAAACCTGATCCCGGATCAGCAACCCTACCCAGAGAGGCACTGGGCATCCGAGCGAACCTGCCCTGTATTCTACATTCTGGCACTAAACTTGTCCTTTTCATTTTTCTTATGAAAACAATGCAGCAGTTTACAATAGCCTTTATCAAATTATCTAGAGAAGAAAAACAAGGGAAGAATATACAGAGAATATAGAAATGTAAAAATACACTTATTGCCTGTACATATCAAAGCACACAAGAAAAAGTCTTTCCTTTTTGAAATTCAGGAGAAGCCTTTTTTTTTGGTAACCCACATTCTGTCAGACCTGCTGATTAAAAGATAAAGCGTGTATGTGCATGTTTAAGACAGCCGAGAGACAGAAAGAGAGAGGGCGCTTGTGATTTGGTTTAGCATGAGGATAGAATAGACTCTTTGGGGATTTCAAGAGAAGAGCAGAGAGCAAAATGCTCTCGGACGCCTCCACAACACACACATACATGCACACGCACACATACACACTTTGAGCTGAGGGAGAGGACATTGAAACAGAAGAAAGCAGAGAGGGTTAAAAGGTGCGATTCCTGCTGGAGACAGCAGCCAAATCCAGCCTTTTTTTCACTGCAGTTTCCATCCTTGTCCTTAAAAGTCCTTCTGTTCCAGAATAAAAAGCAAAACTTTGTGGGGTTTTTGGGGGGAAAGACCAGCCTCATCCTCCCTCTGCAAATCTCAGTCCTCTCCACTAGAGGGAGCACTTTCACACAGCCCTGAATCTCCAGAGTGCAGCGCCAGCGCCCTGAGCAAATCTAATGCCTCTTCATAGAGGAAACTTTCTTCTTCCTGGCAGCCAGCATCTCGTAGAAGGGATCCCTGCTGATTGCGGCCCTGGAGGGTAGAGGAGAGTGAAATATCACATGGTGTTCCACAAGTCTTGGTTATCATCTCTTTACATTTTACACCTAAGTCAACTTTGGCTACATTTTACACTTTTGGCAAAGTCGGATATTCCATTGTTTTAAATTGGAGCACTGATGGAAAATTCCTCCAGCAGCAACAGCAGTGCACCGCAGCAGCCTGGGGGACATTCTGTTCAATTTTCACAGCTGTTCAGTTTTCACAGCTTTTGCCATCAACCATAGCGGTGAAATAAACCAGATCTTTTTTGTGGAAGACATGGACACCAAAACAACTCATTGTTGAAGTTCTGGCAAACCCAGTATTATACCTACTGCCTTTTTCACCTTAAATAAACAAACAGTCTAGACTGCTAAAGCTCTCCTTTGAAATCATCCATGCTGTCACTAAGGCATTGTTTGCATGGCTGCATGCCGCTGTTGGCTGCGTACTACCATGAGTCATTAAACCAACTATCCTTGATGAAATTTGAGCACTAACACCATTAATCTCCAACCATTTTGTTCATGTATTTTGTTTAGTATTTTATATTTATTAATATATTTTATATACATATATTTTATATTTATTTTATTTATATATTTTATATATATTTTATATTTTATTTATATTTAGTATGCTTTATTACAAGGAAAAAAAAAACCTCACTGTTTCATAGTTTATGACTAGTGTGAATTGTGAGTTTTAAATTCATTGTGCGTTTTTTCTAGAGATCTTTTGTGTGCATCTGTGATATAAATAAGATATTTCTCAAAACCAACACCAAGTTATGTTGGCCAAAGCCTTTAAACCTACAGGTGCATCTTCAGTAATCAGTAACATTAATTAGCACTTATTCATGATGTGCAACGAATAACAGCCCTCAGTGATGCTTCTACTCACTTGATGCTGTTAATCCACTCATCCTTTTCTTCTGTGGTGGGTGCAGAGATGCGGTAGAATGTGTGGTTCCCCTCCACCACCCGCCCATCTGCCTCTGTCTTACACGCCTTGATCACCTGGTCCTTATTGTCTGGTATAAACAGCTCGAAGCAGTTCTGAGAAGCACACATATGGATTATCACACATTTGGCCACAAAGGGGAGCCAAAGTGTCTGTAATTCCTCAAACTTTTAATCAGTTGACTGTTTTTTGGTGTTTTCCAAATAATTTATTATTCAAGCTGATTTGAAATTCAAAACATCAGCACACTTAAGGCTAAAGTCTAGGGCAACACCACCACATCCCTCCACAAATTGCAAGACAAGTTTGAGAATCTCACCGGCTTCTTGTCCTCCACTTCACGAATGCTCAAGTTTTCCAAAGGAATGATTCCTCTGGGTTCTTTGTCCTACACAAAGAAAAGCCTCTATTGTAAGAACTGAAGCATAAACATATCACGCCTATAATGGTGCTATAGAACTGCTAGAATGTGAATGATGATAAAAATGTGTGAGAATATCAGGGCTCTGCACTGCCACTACATTTTTGTGATTTTCCTCTAATGCATCTGATTCAACTTCGCAGATAATTATTAGCTGAATCAGGTGAGTTACAGTTAGTATTCACATGCGCAGAGCTTGGAGTCTTCAGAACTAACTAGGAAACACGATTCTATTAACATTACGTTATATTAAATTGAGACTGAAACTGGGAACCACTGGATTATTTTTATATTACTTTTAAATCAGCAGTATTACTACAGAGTTTGTTCTCCCATTTGCTGCAGTAACAGCCTCTACTCTTCAAGAAAGGCTTTACTGTAGACAATAGAGCACTGCAGTAAGGATTTAATTGTAATACTTGGATCTGATCAGCAATACTGCCTCTGCAATCAGTGCACCTTATACTAGTGGAATTCAAAGGGGTTCATTAGAAGTGTCTCAATACCTGTGATGTATATAGTATTATATTTATGACATTATGATTGTAGCATATAATAACATTGATAATATCTGCGTTAACACCCTTCCAGCCAGGAAACCAGCTCCCAGAGACAGCATACTTACAGTAGTGTACTCGAAGTAGTATAGGCAGTTGTCTGTGAGAATAAACCATCGTCTCTTCCAGGTTTTGACACGTCCCCCTGAGGAACAGAAAGAGTGAGCATTAGATGATCTCAGCGTGAGAGTACAAGGGAACGTCAGAGCACCCAGCAGTTGAACAGTGGAGCGGCCGACAAGCAAGACAGACAGATGGGCGAGCAGACAATGAGAGCTTTTCTACAAATGACTCCATTTCTCATCATCTTCCACCCCAAGCATTGCATTCCTCTCCAGCCCCACTCCATGCTCAAACATGGTCAGTAGCATTTAGTCAGGGCTAACGAACAACCAACATTCTGACTCATCTGCTGAGTAACTACTGAAATTACAGACTGAAATTACTGGCCTTATGGAAAAAATAACTCCACCATTCACTCTCTTAGACTCAGGATCCCCAGGCTGCACTGATACAATTATTCAGTCAGAACCACACTGACAGCCAATTATATAATTGTATTAACTTTGCATTAAGGGTGCCACACTGATATAACTATTAATATTGGTGAGCTAAGGAGAAACAGAAACTATGCTAATGATTGTGTACTAACAGAGCGCTCAATTTTCAGTCCTTATTAGCCATCAGAGCATTTATATAACCCTATCCCCTGATCAGCTGACATGACTCTTTCAAACCAGTTCAGAACGCACAATCATTCCGAGGGTCAATATTGGGATAATGAAGCCAGCGGTCCATATAGCTGGCCTGAGGACACCTGAAATGACAGTCCATGACACACACTGACCACAGAACAGCAGATAGGTAGCTCTGCACCACTAACTGTTGATTTACAAGCTATCTGATGCTTGCTGCAGAAACGTGGGTTCAGTGATCTGAATATGACCCCTGGCCTCAGCCAGCTAGAAACCTGACAGCAAATGGCAGCAAAGGTGCCGAAAATGGTATGGGGTAAAAACAAAAGGCATGGACACCCTGAAGGCCAATGGCAGAATATGGACATCCAAGACTGAATCCTATAACATTTCATGTCAGTGTTGCAGCATAATAAATACCAGCTTAACAATCAGAGTCATTAAATCAACTATCCTTGAGGAAATTTGAACACTAACCCCATTAATCTCCAACTATTTTGTTCATGCATTCTTGGTATTTTGCACCAAAACCCTGATCTGTAATAAAAATCTTAAACTGGGAGTCTGATGAACCTCTAAAGAATTGCCTCTATTTCTCTTTGTAGCTCCAAACAGGAATGTTTAAGCAAGCAGAGGACAAACACATACAAACAGCAAAGAACCAGCCGATTGGTTGATTGGGTTGTTGACCTGGGATTAATAATCTCTTCAGAGCATGTTAATTCACTGTCCTCGTAGACAAATGCCTCACAGAGTGTTAGCCTGAGGAGATTTGTGGACGAGCTTAGGGTGAGGTCAGGGTGTGGGCCAGGCAGGAACCCAAAGTGCTGGGTAACTGACAGACACAGGGGAAAGGGGGAGTGTATTTATACTGCCCACAGTGGTAACATAATGCTTCTGAATGCTTATTAATGACTACTAACCAATAACCACAATCTGTCTTTACCCTGAATCCTAGTAATAAGCCCAGTCAGCCTCCCCTAACACATATATATATACACACATACACAATCCCAAGCATACCACATGCTCTGTAAACCACTGCACTGCAGTGCAGAACTGCAACAGAGCAGGCCACACACACAAAAACACACACACGCACACCTCCACTTCATTTACAGCATGAACAACAGCAGCCCAAGCACTTTGGTCCAGGTGCAGTATTCCGAATCAGTCCAGACAAAGCACAAACACCACATAATGAGCATCCTGATTCTCTTCCGAAATACACAACATAATAGAATGTAAAATAAAGTATTATCAATAAACTTTACCTTACTCCTGACTGTGCATTCTGAATTATTTCACAATTGTGGGATTGTCTGTTTTAGTTGTTGGGTACTCATTTTTGATGTTTGCTCATATTCATCCAGACCAACGTTTTTACCAGAGAACACTGCAGCTCCCAAAGTGAAAAAAACAAGAAAATAAAAGATTTAAACACCACAGCAAACAGTGAGAAGAAGTACTCTTCACTACGGTGGTCACATGGAACCCAAACCCCAAGCACCCGGCAATCGCCCGGCAACCACACAGACAGAGCAGCACACGGACAAATCACCAGCTTGATGGAAAATAACAGATCAAACGAAGAAAGAAACAAACAAACATAAAAAATAAACTACACCAAACTGATGGAAGGACTGAAAAAGAACCCAAGAAGGCTAACAACAGAAGGAGCAGAGGAAAAAGAAAGGCATGGCAGATCACCAGAAGCACCTGACAGCGAAGAGATGGACTAGTTTGCTGTTTTGGGGGGAAGAGCAGGTGTACATACCTCCTGAGGGAAAGACAACAGCCAAAATCATGGGAACAAACAAACAAACGAAGAAGGAAAGAAAAAAAATCAAATTAAATAATAAGAAATCATATCCACCGCACACTGCTGATCAAAGGAGGTGCATATTTTGACAGTACACTTTGTAAACAGCAGGCAAAAAAAAGTTAAAAGGATAACAAATGAATCGGGGTCAAAGATGTGTCTATCCTTTTCCATTTGAGGGTGAAAAGGAAAACTTTTCTGAGTGCATGACTCATTCTGACCACCAGTGGGCACTACTGTGTGATAGCAAATGACATATCAGTAAGCTACATTAGCAAAGACAGACGGTCTGCCCTCCTCATCACAGCGGCATCATTCTGATTGACACCCTGGCAGATTAAAGGGATCTGTTACTCTGGTTCGGAAGCAACTTAGATCCAGACAAAATAACTGAAGAAAACTGAATCACTGGCTGATGATTCATTTCAAACTGATTTCTTGGTGATCCCAAAGATCAGCCATCTTCAGAAGGAAGAGTGAAGAGGACTGAAGAGTTGAGTTCTGCTGCATGTCAACATAATGATGTTTACATACAGCAAAAAAACAGCTCTGGAGTCATACATGGCAACCAGAATCACATTAGGTAGTGAGTGCACATATGTTTATGTGTGTAGAGAGAGAGAGAGAGACAGTATGTGACTGTAGTACAATATATATGAACATACATATTAATGTGCACTTGTATGTAATTCTACTCATGTATAATAAGACTCTTAGTCAAGTCCTTCAAAACCTTCTGCTCACTGACCACCCACTGCTTCTCAAGCTCTCTAGAAGAAAATACATGATGGTTAAACAGATATGTGAATTATTAATATCCCTCCAGATGTGGCTGTTTGATCTCAAGACTGCAAATTGATTATGCATGTCAGCTGTTAGAATCCACCCTTAAACAGGAGGCACTACACATCAACCAGACAAGACAATCTCCTTCCTAAAAACGTTGTTTTAAAGCAGGGTTGCCCAAGTTCAGCCTGGAGATCTACTCTGAAGAGTTCAGTTCCAGCTCTAATATTCAAATGTTGCTGAAAGCCTTCATTAACTAGATAAGGAATGTTAGATTAGGGTTGGGCCTCAACTGTTCAGGGTGGTGCATCACCAGGGCTGGACTTTGGCAAACCTGCATTAAAGGTACTTCATTTTTCTTCATTCTAAAATGTTAACATGCTAACAATACACCAAAACTGAGAATCAGTTAGCATAATCTTACTAGCATAATATGCAATGTTAGCACCTTTGAGTGAAGTCTTAGCTGTCGTAAATCAGAATGTTTTATTTATGAATATTCAGCTTGGATGAATCTTACTGTTAGCAGTTTATATTTCAAGTTCCACTCACCCAGTTTGAGCAGCCAGCCCTCACGGTCCGGGTTGAAGAACGTGTGTGTGAGGTCGTTGCCGTCATCCTCAGGAATTTTGAATGGCTCATTCTTGATGCTCTCATACAGGTTCTAAAGATGGTCAAAAGAGAGGAGCATGGACGAATGGACGAGCAAGGAATTTAAAGGTAATGTAAAACCATTTGAGGTCTGTGTTAACAATGCACCGATGTAAGAATTCTCTGCTTGACACCAGAACCAGTTTTTAAGCAAATAACTTCTGACAGTAATTAGAATTCATAGTAATAGTTATACAAGGTTAAAGGGAGCTTGTGAAGAAAAGATGGTGGGTGGATGTGTGAGAAAGAGACTAACTCGGAGAAGCTCCTCTGGTAGGTCTCCTCCATCGTTGATGCCTCTGTTCATGGAAATGAAGCGCTCCACAGTGGGCTTGTCCTTCACATTGGGGTTGTGAAGGCTGGTGTTCAGCATGATAATGGCAAAGGAGAGAATATAACACGTGTCTGTGGAAAAACAACACACGTCTCTTACTTAGATTGTTTTTATTTAAGACCACATTATCATACAAAGTGATAGCGTCTAGAGTTTCACCACACTGACTTGATTACTTTGGCAAGCTTGAGAATTATTGAAAAAAAAAAACAGAATACAGAATTTTAATTAGAGGAATTATTTACACAGTATTGTAAAAATGCAGTTTTAAACAAAATTGCTGATCAATTATCAAATTCCATGTCTTTTATACCTTTTTAAGACCGCAATAATAATAATAATAATAATAAAAATAACAACAACAACAACAACAACAACAACATGTACAGATATTGACTATTTTACAGTAATAACTCAGTTTTCCTATCTAACTCACCTAACTACTCTCTTTCTTCCCTACATGGTCTTTTCGGTGTGTTTAGCTTTGTTATCAGTTCTGCAGTCCTCTAGTTGTTTCTGAAAGCAGGACAGCTGTTGGCTGGATGTTTTTGGTTGGCAGACTATTCTAAATTAATCTAACAAACACAATCTTTTCAGCCCAGTCATCAGGAATCATCTTAGAATGCAATGATTCTAAAATGAGGGTACATTTCTAAAATCTATTTTAAGATTTTTTTGTTTAATCCACGTTTTTAATGCAGTTTAAACGTATTATGTGCTATAAGAAAGAAATCCTTATTGAAATGAACCAACAGAGGATATATTAATAATGTGTGGCTTATAATGGGATGGTAATGCATTCTGTTGTGTTAAATGTTCAGCTGGGATCTCACACAAAAATGCTAACGTTGCTAATTATGAAAGCAAGGCAGCAGGGGAGACATTGCATTAGGCTATGCAAATATGATAATTCATTGTTACTCATGCTAGCATTTTCAGGCATTTTGTGTAGTTTAAATGTATGATAATGACATTAAAACAGCAAGCTGGACAGTAGAAAAATGTGGAAAGAAAGAACAGTGAGAAAGAGAGAATTATGAGAGGCTGAGATATTCAAGTCAACACATTTGCATCTTTGAGTATGTGTATATGTATGTCAAGCTGACACAGCAGCACTTTATCTAGCCTGTGTGTCTCAGCAGAAAGCACATGAATAATGTAGTTCAATCTGTCCCATAGCTGGATCGTCAGCCATGAACACAGTCACAATCACACACACCACCTCCTAACCACACACAGAAACATCCACCCACACACACACACACACACACACACAAACATTTAAGATGTGACTGATAAGGGAAAAGCACTGCAGTGAAAAACCAAAATAGCACATTTCTGAGGTAAATGAACATTTCTGATAAATTACTTTTGGTACGTACGCTTCAATTCTTAGTAAAACAAATAGCAAAAATATGTGTGACCTATCTTTACGACTTGCATTCATGAAGTATATAAATACAGTACTGTGTCAGAGACCAGACGTTATTTAATTTCAAGACAAAACAGCCATTAAGTACAAGTTATTCATTCTTCAGCATCAGGGAAAAAATAAAACATAAATTTAACACAAAATTACATAGAAGCTGTAGGGATTATTTCCCAAACCTCCAAAGATCAGTCTTAGAAGTTGGTTGCTTTTTCTGCTTCTCATGACATAAGTCATACCACATATTCAGTGCGGTTGAGATCTGGACTCTGGGTTAATCAGTCCATTGTTGTGAGAACACCAGCAATTGCTTTGTTTGAATTTGTATTCTTTTTTGTCTGTTTCCTTTTCTCAGTACTGGCTTCTAGACAGACATCCTGCCAGATTCACAGCATTAAGCTGTCTTTTCACAGTGGAAGGACAGACAGAAACACCTGTGGATTTTTCAAATCTGAACCATGAGTAGGGCTCGATTTTCTCTTCTCTTTCAAAGATGAAAGCTAAATACTGTTTATCTGATGGTGACAGTTGGTGGTTTACCAGGTCTTACAAAAATAGTTAGGAGTCCCATTTTCTCTATATCATTGTGACTCCAATTTTTGTTTTTTTTTCTTCTATGTATTATCCTTTTACCTTCCCCTTTCTTAAGCAAGTTATTGTATACGTAATCTCATAAATATCTCCTGAAAAATTATTAACTGCTGTTTTGACTGGAAATGAAATGAAAAGTGGTCTTTAAATGACACACTACTGTACATACAGTGACCCACCAGTGGACTGGAAGACTCCTGGGTTACATTGGCAGTAGCGTTGGGCAAAGGCCTCCATCATCCTATCGATTTTCTGTGCTTCACCAGGCAGTCTGAAACTCCAGAGAAATTGCCTGCGCACATCAAAACATCCCCATCATTCAAATCAGTGTTTAGACATGCATAAGAAAGTCAAACAGCTAAAGCTGACTAAACAACCCCAGTGCATGGCTATGATAATTCACTGGAGGACTAGCTTAAAAACAAAGACTCATATCTTGTTTTAAAGGTTTTGAGTACATGCGTCACCTGAGAGCTTGTACCAGGTTCAGATCTGTGAACTCGTGCAGCTCCACAAAAGCATGCAACACCTGGATGTTGAACTCATCCCTGTTGAGCCAAGAAAATATCACATTTCAGTTTCATCAGGCAAATGTTTAGCCTCATACAAACCATTCTAAATCTTCAAGCGTTCACCCTTTTCCACTCTTTCATCTAGTCTGGCATTCCAGACAGCAAACAATTTGTGCTTATGGGCATATCAACATCAAGTCTCTGGAGTTTTAATCCTGGTTATGGTTTCACTGTTGAATTCCTCACTCTGTATCAGATAATAATTTAGTAGGAGTGATAAATTGAATCATCCCCATAGCTCATCAGAATACATCTACTACTCAGATTAGTCAGCCTAAAAAAAAATCCCAGAGAAATGTCTGTGAACTGAGGTAATGTCAAGACAAAGCATAAAGAAAAGATGTGAGATTCTCATAAAAAAAACAAAACAAAAAAGACAAAGCGAACAAGACAAATACAGATACAGTCCCTTTATCAAAAACATGACATCACATTTGACCTATGCTGTGCCAAGGCTGCAATATTCCCAGGGGGATTGTGGGATACCACAATAGAGCTTTCTCTGATAAGGTCTCATCTCTCGGTGACCCTTCTGCCTTTCCCTCCTCTCTGCCGGTATCACAGGATCCAATCTGCTCATGAAGTAAGTAATGCAGACCTCCCACCCCATCATCCATCCCCTCCTGACAGATTAGCCATGAAATGGTGATACCAATCTACTGCTTTCTGAGGGTCCACTCTATTTCCTGATCTTCCTGGGACACACCCAGGCATTGTGGTCAGTAAAGGGGGAGAGCGAGGAGAAAGAGAGAGATGGAGAAGGACAACGAGGGATAACTACACAGAATCTGAGAGAGAGAGAGAGTGAGCGAGAGCGAGAGAGCAAGAGAGTGAGCGAGAGAGAGAGAGAGAGAGAGAGAGAGAGAGAGAGAGGTCGCTATGTTGTCTAGAGTCAGTACAGACTGGGTGTTAGCTGAAATTGGACACCTCAAAGATATTTCATGTTTCATTGTTTGAGCTAATATATTTGGAAATGAATCAGTTCAGAAGGAAATAGAACACAGATGGAGATGGGATTAAAAGAGCCATTCACACCATCCAGTTCCCTCAGCCTAACAAAGCAGCAAGGAAGAGAGCGAAGCATAGATATAATTACTGCTGCACAATTAGTTATGTTTCTATTGTTTTTGTGATTAAGGTCATCATGATGCCAAAATTTTGATTGATTCTGATAACAAGTGTATTGTTCACGATACACAATACCAAGTAAATCAAAGTGAACTTCAGTATATGACAACCTGTTGTTATATACGAAAACAATAAAAAAAAAAAAAAAACAACAACAACAAACACCTTTCTCCGAGGTAGTCCCCTATGGCTGTCTTGTTTAGGCCCTCGCCCTTGTACAGGAACTGAGCGATGTCGTCGCTGGTGTTTTTCAGAAGGTCATTTTCAATCAGGAACTGAATTCCCTGAGAACACAAACACACAGAGATCAGCATATACTGGGTGACATGCCTGGTTACGTATAGACTTTAATGGAGTACTTAATCACCTTCTTGGGGTCCATGTTGAACTTCTTTCGGCCCATTGCTACTTGCTTATTCCTCTGCATATTTTTCCTATAGAGGACAAAAGAATTCAGGAGTTGCAGACAATAGAAAGCTTTTGTACAAATTGCTTTACAGAGTATATATTTAAATTTTGTCAAATTTCCTCTTCATGGCAGACACATAAACCACTTGTAGAGAATGATGGGTAGAGAGATGCTCAGTCTGAGAGAGACAGGGAGGTGCCTGAGCTCATAAGCCCACACACATTTTCTAATCTAATGGACCCAAAAGTGCTCAACCAATTGCAGCCCAACAACCCTGTTTGAAGAGCCTTAAAAGATCTTGAGAGCTTCTGAGACACCAATTTTGCAAACAGTAGGAATCCCCCTGCACTCAGGCTCTCTGTATGCTCTCTTCTGGAGAGTCCCTATTGTCTGTTTTACCAAAACACGTGGTGAATTATTCAGTGGTTTCTCATCAGTAGAAGGAGTGGGTTGATGAAAGATTAAAGCTGCCACAGACTGTATGGGTATTTCAAATGCAGAGTTGGTGTGGTAAAGGTCTGGAGGCCAGCAGTCACAATTTAAATATTAATATTTAACGGAGTTTGTTGGAGATAACTATCCGGCTTTAACGCACCCCTGTCCATATGAGTTAGGCGGTGGGTGAGTGTGAAGAGGACAGAGTGATCTCTCACCTCTCTTCGGTGGAACCCAGGTTCTCTATCTCGCTGGTTACCTCGGCTATCTCATCCTTCAATCTCTGCAGGGAGGAGAGGGAAGGTGGTCAGCTTAAAATAACATGATTGAGCAAATCACATGACTTCATATGAGGCAGATATTTTTTCACAACTATTCCCTCACAAATTCCCTCAATCTCGAGCATGTTTAAACATCTACTCTGCTGCACTACCTTGAGCAGACTGGAGTGCTATGAAGAGACCTGCCCTGTGTTTTCCTTTCCACCCAAAGCAGGCCTGAAACAAAACTCCTCAAATCTAATATCAGTGGATTGATCCCTTACTCCTCTAACAGGTCGGCTCCTTCAGATATAAATTACATGAAAGGGAGGACAATTGGCGAAGGGCCCCAGAATTACACTGACGGTGAAACAGAATTATCTTTTTCATATGTCTTTTCAGACATGAACTTTCCTGCTACAGATTTGTTACGACCCAGTCTAGGCTGCTTCGAGTCACATGACACAGCAAAACCTCACTCCAACAAAGATATGTAGCTTAGAGTGAATGCAGCAAGTGAAATTCTCTTCTGCCATTGTTCTACTTTCCATTCAGATTTCCTTTTTTTCTTCTCTGCTGCACTTTTTGTTACAATTAAGCACAAAGCCAGACAGAATAACACAGCTGTTTTTTCCCCTTTTTCTTCTGAAGGCATGAACAATCGCAACAAATTCCTTGGATGTTTGTCTCCGCAAACAAAAGCAAGATGTGTAACAGAAGACTTGGGCGTGCAGTGGGGAGAGGAAGAAGAAAAAGAAGAGAAGGGGAGTTAGAGAGATAGTCAGTACACTATCTTGTCTATGGTGGTCAGTTTATTTAAAAGAAACAGACTAATCCCAATTTAAATGTTAAGATAGTTTAGCTTTAAATGAACTTACAGTAGGAGTGTGGAATTCAACTGATAAGATTTTGGTTGCACAACTAATTCTGATCAGACTGCCTCAGTTCACGTGAGCAGCCTTCTGTGGGGTTTTAGAAGATTCCATCTTATCCCCATCAGTTTGACTCACTTCCTTGGCATTTTGTTGTTAGCAGAACAGTGCATCCCCTATATTAAACTGTTGTTACCGGCCAAGTGGATGTTTGCCAGTAGATCTGAGGCACCACAGGTTACATTCTTCAAACTGTAATCAACACTGACAAAACAGACACCTCCTAAAACAGGCAAATAGAATTTGACAGCACTGTTATCAAACAGCTGGAAATATGGGGTTTGGACTGAAATATTTAAACTATTTCTCTCTTTTGGAGAACTCAACCAAAACCCTTGGAGGAGGAAGTAAATGTTTAATGAAAAAGCAGTGGATATGTAGACAGAGACTGAGAAGGTTAGCCAAACGTCTGGAAAGAGATGGAGAGGAGGCTCCTCCGCTCTCTACATCATTCGGAGCTCGCATCATGTACGAGCAGTCTGAAGTCTGGGACACTTCATGTTCATCGATTACAGATCTTCAGTACATGACAAACCCGCATGGAAACCTGGACGTGCTTCAGTGATCACACTAAAAATCTATAGGCTGTCTAACAACAGTTCATCTGATTGATGTTCCATTCAGACACAGTGAACTGGAATTAAATAGGAACAAGGAGGTTTTGGTGGCATGTGGTACCTGAATGTCCTCCAGCAGCTCCTGCTTGCGCCGGCGGATATTCTCCAGCTCTTGCTGCTCCTCAGGTGTGAGGTCGTCTGGCACTAAGCAAAAGAAATGAGAAAGACAGCATCATAAGCAACACTCCAGCCAAGCTTATCAAAACCTGTTAAGGTACAGATACCAATAACCAACAGAGCCAACTGCTGAAATTCAAACCAGTAAACATTCAATTGTGTAAAACAGTTTGTTATTTACCAGACACTTCTAAAGCACCATTTCTTTTAGTCAACTAAAACAAATAAAAAAATGTATCCCACATAAAAAGCCCCATCTTTCTGTGCCTTCAAGCCTCAAGATTCAAGTAGATTAAGATGTTCAAATTTTGAATCAGGATGTGTAAAAAAAGAGAAGAGAAATTATCTGCACTCTTGACCTTTTATCCAGAGCAAAATTCAGAAATCAGTTCCCACTCTGCTTTCTTTATTTCCTAGCACTAAACAGATGAATTTGACAAGGTCTTCTTTTGCATAAAGTCAAAAGTGAGATAAAAACACCCTTAAATAGTTTGACTTGTGGACATTAGGACTCTCACTCTAAGCAAGTGACAAGTTCAGTGCAACGCAGCAATGCAAAGCATCAGTGTCACTGGGCTAATAGCAGGACTTGCACGGTGAAAGATATTATTAACCTGCCAAGTGCCAGAGCTCCATTTTAAGCCTGAGGAAGAAACTGCCTCTACCATCAACCTCTATTAATCTTGAACTGGAATAGAGCAAGAAATCTAAAAGCTCTACACCCAATAACTATAAGCTATAGTTATATAGCTTACAGTGATTGGGTACAGTCAGTATAGCTATAAGGCCCCAATGAGAAACTGCAACTTGCCCAACTTTTAGTACATGTATTGTCTACTGTACATAATAAATGTACAATAAACAACGTAACATGTTTTAGGTTGGACTTGTTCTCTAGCACTAAAAATCTTGTCCTGTAGTGGTGGTAGTATTTCATCTATTTCAGTCTGACTGGGGTTTTAGGGAAGAAGGTCTTGGGTTTTAGAGAAAGTTCCAATTCTTTGATTGATAAAATGCCACATAAACTTACACTTCTGATAAAATCAACTACTAACAAGCTATTACAATATAACCAGCAAAACCTTGTAAACTTGAAAACATATCAGTACCAAAAGTAAAATGAACATGTAATATGTAAAATGTCAATGTAATTGCATGTTTGCATTAAAATTTTCCCCTCATATATACAATGTTGAGATCTAAATGAAAATTTAAATTTAATACTACAACTGTAATTTGCCGTTTGGTTTACTAGCATTGACATTTCATTTACACAAAGATTTATATGCGCTACGAGTAGCTTTCTTTAAATTAAAATGTATTTCTAAACATGCATATTTATGCTTAATGTGATTAATGCAAAAAAATTCAAAATCATAATTAAAATGTAATTTATCTTATAAGCATTTCACTCTGTAATAATGCATTTAAGGTAAACAGGAAACAGCGCCTCTCCTTCTGCAATTACATATTGTCACCTACTGCAGTTACTCTGTGTCAAAATACCTTCGAAAATGCTTTCAGCCAGACTGCATTTTTATTTTCATGGTCTTCTCAACCAACGCTAGCGGAAAAGGCTTTATCTGAAAATATTGACATTTAAATTTCTAGCTTGATGTTCTCTTTGAAAATGCAGTTCAAATGAAAGTGAAAATGCATATAAGATAAATTACATTTTAATCATCATTTTGACATAATTATTGCATAATCATATTAAGCATAAATATGTTGTTCTGGAAATACTTTTTAATTTAATTAAAGCTAAATTTTTAAAGTTAAATCCTAGTGTAAATGACATGCTAATACTAGTATACCAAATGGCAAATTACAATCACAGACCTGAATCTGAGTTTTCATTTTGAGCTCAACACTGTATATGTAAGTGAGAAATTTATATGCAAACCCACAAATATATTGACATTTTATGTATTACATTTTAATTTTAATTTTTATACTAATAATCTTCCATAACAAACTACGCAACTTCTTTAAAACCTTTAAATTCAATGGACACACTGATTCAGTTAGAAAACTTCTATAGAGAAGTTTCTATAGAGAGAAAAAAATAATATTTCTTAGTCATCACAACCAGGAGAGAGAAGCACTAGTAAATTTGATCATGCTTTTCTTATATGAGTCTGCCCTTCCAGTGGCCCCTTTGGTCAACGATGACCTTACTTCCTCACTTCACACTGGCCAAAGGCCAGCTCTGAGGTCAGAGGTTTTTCCAGCTATCAGGTCATGCACTCAGAAGGGGATAACTAGTTAAGCAACACTGAGAGATGTGGGGGTGGAGGAATGCATGATTGCTGGCATTGTATGAATCATATCCCACAGGCTCCTTAAACTGCTTCTGACAACGAGAACAATCTCCATAATGCACTTACCCCACCCCACCTCCAATACTCCACGTCTTACTCTCCATCTCCCAGAGGGACCCACCCACACAAAACAGCCCATCAGCTATGTGTGTAGGCCAAATCTTCATAAAATAAGTAGCTCCATTCCCACAGTGCAACACAGGAAGGCCTGTCACAATTATTACAATCGCCTAATCACAGTTATTTGAGATGATCGCAATTATTTAAGCTGACCGATTATTTTCCACAGTGGTTAGATTTCAGTCAGGTTATGCTGCAACAAACAAAATGTGAATAGGGTGCTTTGGACAGAGGCAAATAAATATAAACAAAAGGAAGCAGTAAATACATTCACTAGGACGTCACGGGTCTTACGAAAGCAAAAAAAAAAAAAACTTCTAATTTTTATTTGTTTATTTGTTAGCCATGTAGATAATTCTAAAGATTCCAGCATGTATGCCGGCAGAATTTTTCTTTTTCGCTAATATTTTCCCTCTTGTGAAGAACATTTGCTTAATGTTCTAAAACAAACACTACTCAGTGCTGCCCTCTACCCATGTTAGAGCACCAAATTAGAAGTTAGAACTTTTTTTTGCTTTATTAAGTTCCATGATGTTTCAGTGAATGCATTTACTGCTTGATTCTGTGTAACTGTAGACATTTGTATAAGTGTAAGAGTATCGATTTGACAGTGTAACTAGTGTTAGCTACTAACATAGTAAACATAGCTAGCAAGTAAGATGGCTAATCAACCAGTTTGGCCACATTAGGCTTGTACTGAAATAGTTGCAAACAGTAAAGAAGAAACAGCAATTAAATTGTTAATCACAATTATTTATATGACAATTAATCATCAGCTAAAATGTCACCATCATGACAGCCCTACTGTGTGCTCTACGTTGTGGTTGTAGAAGATCAGAAGAACACGTTCTCTTTGTCCATCAGGAGCGGTCAGCCATGCCCTTTCATTACACACTGACATCCGACACATTACTGTTAGCTGTATGTTAAGAACACAACACAATGGGAATTTTATACCTGCTCTTTTCATGAAGAGAGGGGTGATGGATCCAAGATGACTTTTCTTTGGAAAAGTCTTAGACGTCCCTTTTCACTGTGTGTGTGTGAGTGTGGTTGGAAATTGGAGTCTTTCTTAGTACATTGTGAATCAGTCTAACAGCTGTTCTTGCTGCGCTCTCCCAATACGCTGATCTCAGCTCTCACCTGCCATCCCCCTACACTCAATCAACGTGGACTGTTCCAAAGCTCCCGCCCCCATGACTAGGGCTGTGAACCAAATGGATCCACAAACACAAATCCAAAGCTAACATTTTTTAAAATGTATTTTTCTGCTTTGAAACAGGCAGAAAAACAACATCCTGTCCTCTTTCATTTTATGTGGTGCCTTTTAGTCACACAGGCCCATCTCTTGACCAAAATATATACACGTACATGCTGAAAAGCACCAAGCAACGATGACTAAGCAGTGAAAAGAGATGGATAGAGGAAAATGGACGTGAAGAGTGATCTGACTGGCTCAGTCGTGATGTTGGCAGTCTAATCACGCCCCATCCCTGTAGTACTAGTGTTATGGTGTTTACTGGATGCTGTACAGCAATATACTATAATAGAGTAGCATGCAGTGTACAGCTTACACTGATACAGTATGACATTTTGAACACAATTGTAGTGTCCATATCATAAAACAGAATTCCAGAGTAATTGAGAGCACCAAAATCTCTCACAGTAATAAAATCTCCCACATAATTTCTAGTGAACACCATAGATCACTACATCAGCTGAATGTATACTAACACACATTACTAAGTAATAGTACTTATTACTATCATTAAGTAATGTTAACAATTGCCATGACTGTTCACCACAGCAATCAACCACTCAAAATGACTGCTTTTTGTGAAGCTGCTTAAGATCACAAGTGAGCAAACTGTGAGCTCTCAGCTTTTCAATGGCATTAAATCCTCTACGCTATTCAGCAGCACATGTAATACAAGTCAGTGACTAAACGAGAAGTTGGCAAAGAAATCAGATTCTTCAGGTTCTGGAGTTACCGGATCAAGCCTCCACTCCCAGAAGATTGGATTACATACAGTCTCGTGGAACATCTTAATGATCAGCAATGCAGTTTACAATTGCGAAAGCCTCAAGAGTTGCAAGAGGAAGACAGAAGAAAACAGGAAGTATTTTTTTTTCCCAGGGAAGGAGTGAGGTCATACTGGGTGGACACCTTGTGAAACCACCACACGTCCACCCACAGGATTTTTTAGAAACTCTGGTGACGCTGATGGACCACAGGCTGGGGCTCGAATGAGAGAGATGTCCTGTGGCCAGGCCCCTGAGGACGCTCTGGCACGAACGCCTGCAGTTATTCATGGACCTCTAAGAACAGCACTGATTTTTTGGGTCAGGCAATACTGCTCCCCATCAAACCAACAAGTGTCTTTTGAGTAAGAAGGTAGTTGACCTACATTAGTAGTGGCCAAGATGTTATGAGGAGTTTCTTTAAAAGAAGCAAACAATTCTCAAATTAAAAAACAAAAACTAGTTAAGACAGTCGGTGAAGAGTGAGTTTCAATATTGTTTTTTGCCTTTTCAGTCATTCTGTGCTGCCTGTGAAAGAAGGATGTAGCACAGCAGTTCTAGTAA